AGTGTATAGGATTTCCTGAAAGCGCGCGCCTGCGCGTTCACGACGCTACGGAAACCGGCAGACCAAACCAGATGAAAGTCGGTTTATATGGATCTTTTGGCCAAGAAGAAAAAAGAGCGACAACAACTACCAATAACTGTTCTTCTCTCCAAAAAACACACCTGCACCGCAGGCTTTAGAAGAAAGAAACGCCACAGAGCAGAGTCAGGATGCAGCGGCTCCGTCAGAACAGCATTTTTTTTTCATAATCCTTTTTAATTTTCTCCCGTTCCAATCCGTCATGGCGGGGCGGTGCTGATACCCACAATATTAACCCTTCAGTTCGCATTGATGATTAAAATGATTATTTATTTATTTATAACTATAATTTTGCAGTACAGTACAGTAGTTATTTGTAAAAAAAAATAAAAATAAAAAAAAAATAACAATAAAAACAAACGTTTATACAGTACTTTTATTTGTTAAACAAATGCTTTGGCCTGTAAAAAGTTTTTGTTCCTTGTTCCCACACACACATACACTGTACCAGAGACTGCACCTTACCTGCACTACCTCAGCCTAGAATAAACTATTGCTGCTGTTTTATTGCTTTTATTGTAATGTCTATACTTCATATTTATCTTATCACTGTTACCTGTCATGTCCCGCACTTTATGTCAGTTTTTAAATGCCAGTCTTGTATATTTCTTGTATATTTGTATATTTCTAGAGAGTCAACGTAATTTCATTTCCCTTGTATGTCTTGTACATATGAAGAAAGTGACAATAAATGCTGACTTGACTTAATTTCTATGTTGTATGGAGTATTTCATTGCATGATAACTGTAAAAAAATAAAGGTTTCTACTTCACGGATTTCGCCTATCGCGGGTTCTTTTTGGAACGTAACCTCCACGATAAACGAGGGTTCACTGTAAACTGAAACTCAATTAAACTGCTTGTCATCATCAGAAATGCTCAGAACAGTCTGGTAAAATATGATTAAAACGTGTTTATCTACATTTTAGCTGTTTCTTTCTTTAGGTTACTTACTACATACATGTTAACACAAAAGGAAAACTTAAACTCAAAAAGACTAGATTTATGTTCAAATCCAAAGCTGAAAAACGTAGCTTCTGGATGTAGAGTAGGGTCGCATTTCCGGAACAGAACGGCCACAGATGAGTGACAAAACAGAAAGGATATTAAGGCATTTATTTTCATTATTAACCTTTAACACATCAATCTGACCCTATGATCTGGTGAACTCTAAAGTGCCTTGAGATGACAGGTGTTGTGAATTTTCGCTATAGAAATAAACTGAATTGAATTGAACTATCAGATTTTTTCCTGCCTCTGGTACAAACGGTCTTTTCTCTACAAAGATTAGGATTTTATTCCCTACATGTGAAATTAAATTGTGAAAGATATCATTTTTGATCAACTGAATAAATTTCTTTTGAAACCCAGCTTTTATTTGACAGTTGTTGGTGTAATTAATTCTTTTTATTAAAGGTTCCCCTTATTACTTTGCTCGGGTTTGTGTTAATTTACAGCATTCAAAAGCAGTTTGATTCATGCAGTGCACAATATTGATATAAAAGCTTTTAAAAGCTTGAAATAATACAATCAATAAATAAATAAGAACATGACAGACTGTTAATCAATTGCACTCAAAAGTAATTACAGTTAATAGAGCTATCCACCGCCTTTCACCAGTGCTTTTAGTTCTAAAGTGTGATTAGCTCTAGCAGTTTGGGCTGTTGCTGAAAATCCCACCAGGCTGAGCAGGCAGGGTGTTTAAAAGCTCTCTTATCAAATTCTTATCTAAATCTGGGTTCAATCACGCACAGCGAAGTGTGTCAGCGGTCACCGTGATAAGTGCAATCAGAATAGTGCTGGCAGTAAGAAAGGAGCGAGGAAAAGGAAGCAGGATGCATCCTAT